TATATACATTTCTCGTTATGGAATATTATTACCAAATTGTTTTCTTTTAATTATCATAGTTTTTTTTTTATTTCTTTTGGAATTGATTGATTGTAGGCCTCATTATTCTGAGCTTGTGCACCTCAGTTTTTGAGTGAAAAATTTCCAAAATTATCCACAAATAAAGCTTTTTTCACTCAAAAACTGTTGTGAAAAAAGATTGAATCCAAGATTTGGTGATAATATAGCATAATGAGGGATTTATTAGCACTTTTTAAAAGGTTGGTTCTTTTTGACAGGGAACACTAAATTAGGTAAAGGATTTTCAGCACAGTACAAGAGTTAAATTATTGGCGTTTTTAAAGATGAACTTGAGAAAGTGTGCATTAGATGAGAGCAAATGTAATGTAAAAATACTGTACAGGAAATGAGGATGCACAATTAAATGTCCAATATGGTACTGATATATTGTGCATTCTAATTATTAGAAAGGAAAGAACCACTAGCAGCTAGTTGTCCATGTAAATTTGATGAGTAGTTAAAAAATGTTGCCTGATTTATGGCCTACGGCCTGTGGAGAACACAAAGGAAAAGGTATTACCTTGTCCTGTAGGCGGTTTACAGCGGACACTGTTCAAACTGACTTGAAGGAAGACAAACAGCAGGCCAGCGTCGCTCAGAGAACAGAGAAACCCATGAGCTCTGAAGAAAAGCCTGACATACACCGAAACTCAAGACTAAGGCCAAGAGGCTACGGAAAACTAAACAAAACAAATCCTCGAAGAAAAAAAGAGGGGTTTGAAGGGAGATGCCTCTGACTTGGCAATTTGTTTGATTTTCCTTTTCTCTGAACAAACTCTCCGTGCACTGCGAGAAGACAGGGCGGCAAACAAGAATGAGAGCTCTTTCAATAGTCAACAGAAAACAAGCTCAGCAAGCACCGAAATTTGCCTTCGAGAGGGCTGAACGGCCAATTACAAGGAGCTTAAGTAAACTTGATTCAAAAGTCGTGAGGTATAGAATCAGAAAGCGAGGAAGAAAGACAAACACACACATTATAGCGAGAGAGAGAGAGTGAACGCGCACGCTGATGTATCCTAATGAGCCAGAACAGATTTCCTACATTTTGAGGGTATCATGCACTGCCAAATCCTATTAGGGCATCTCCTCATTCAAAAAGTTGAAAGTGATGTGATTACATTGATCCCCTCCTGCTGTGTAACACAACAATCTGCTTTCCCAGCATTCGAGAGCTCAAGACAAATGTGCTCCGTCAGAGGCCCAGACAACACAAGTGATTGGTGGCTGCTGTCTTGTTGTCTGTGGCCGTGATTGTTGTGTGAAATGCACCGGTGGGCCGAACGGGCTCGAGCCGGGGGGTGTCGAACTCAGGCAGTAAGGGCATCCGGGCTCATTTTCGCAATATTATTACATCATCCTCCGCCCTTGTCGCTACTGTACGACTGGCTTTGTTTACCGTAATGGGCGGAGACAGCACTGCTCTAAAACGCGAAGGCTGATGGCGCTTTTCTGACCACTGAGTGGGGAACGGGGCCGCAGCGGCTGTCCTCTTTAATGAGACTGAAGAGACAGCTGGCAGGCCTGTCTGTGAGAGGGGGAAAAGCTAATTCTAATGGAGCAGAAGTCTCCGATGGGACAGATTGGAGTCTCTTGCCTTTGTTATCATATGCCATTGTTCCT